ACCGGGAGCAGGTGCATTTAGGCGAATGGGCTATGGAATGGCAAAAGAAAGGTATGGTCGAGCAAATTGTAGACCCTTATATCAGAGGACAAATAAAACCAAGCTCACTGAAGAAATTTGGTGACACAGCAGAGAAATGTTTAGCTGATTATGGTGTTGATAGGCCTACCATGGGTGATGTCTTGTGGAATTTGGAACACGCGCTTCGACTTCAAGAAAGTGAAATTCAAATAGAATCTCAAGCAGAAACTGATGTAAACTCTGTTAATCGTGCATCGCCAAGATTTATTCCCACAATTCACTCGAGCAGTGCTGGGGTCGAGGGGGATATTGACAACAGTTCTTCAGAAATAGCAACGAGTCAAGTCTTCTCCCAGTTGATAACTAACGAAGGCAGATAGATATTCTGATATTTTTTCGAGTTTGCTCATTCAAAAAGACCTATGCATAACATATATAGTACAGAAATTTAGGTGGTTTGTTTTGCAGTCCTAGATTAATGAAAAAGTGCATAAATTGAGATACAGAATTTCAATAGTTGTGTTACTCAAAATGATTTCTGCTATTCTAGTTGTATGAAATAATAAATTTCGTTTCACAGGACTTTTGAAAAGTTAAAATTGCTTTTGCATAAATTTTCTAGCAATATTTTGTCTGATTAGAAGAGTTTTTAGAGAGAGTTGACATAAGGAGAACTATCAAGCAAGTCCTTAGTCATTCAATCTGGAACTATTCTATGTATGCTATCAAATCGTAAATTCGGCAACAAGATGAGTACAAGAAATGCAAACCTATGTTTGGCTCATATTTAGAAATACGAAAGTCATTATTTATTTATACATTTTAAGAGATCTACAAGTACTTCCACTCATTCATTACTCATATCTATTTATATATAATTTGAACTATTTATAAATACTTCCCAAATATGCTCCCACTTATTAAGAGGAATACGCTAAAAGGGAGCATTAAATAGAGTTGCTATAAGTTAAAGGATAAATCTCACATCGAATAATTGATGAAATATAGACAGACAATAAGAGTTTGAGCCGCTTCTTTTAATAAAATTGACCTTTTAAGATAGATCTTCAAGTCTTAATATAGTATCTTACGAGGCATCTTAAGGAATAAATATTTTATCGAATAATTACCGAATAAAAATCAACGTATATAGTTTTGTGCTACTCCTCTTAATGATATTGACTTTTTAAGATGAAACCCTAAATCTTATTACTACTTGTGTTATTGAAAATTTTGTTCTTATGTTATGAATGAAACAATTGTAAGTATTTATGCCAATCGATTTATAGGGACCATCATTAGGCATTTTGAATATAGCACTTTGAAGGCAAAATTGTTGATAAATATCTAGATAAACGATTTATACTAAAAATGAAAAATGTTAATAATAAATTACTTATGAATCTTATCAAATATATGAATAAAAGTTATTTGATCGATTATAACAATAGCCAAACAAAGACAAAGTATCAAATAGTTAATAAAAATGAACAAATGTAAACAAAAATACATGAATCTTTGGTCTCCGATAATATAGAATAGTATTAT